CTCAAGTTGTCGTCGTTTCCTAACAAACATGGAATGGAACAAAATGTGGGAAGCAGACAACTTCCCTATTCCAAAGGGGGAAAGGGATGTTCCACACATTAGCTACTGTCCAGTAGTCACAAGGCCACATCCACAAGGGAGCTCTGGAAGAACAGCCAGTGCTCTTAACCTCTGAGCCATCTCTCCAGCCCCTCCTCTTCATATCAAAGATCAGTTAATACTCCTAAATATATCTAGATTATCTTCAGAACACCTCCTCCTTCTTGAATCCGTGTTCCAAAAGCTTCCTCTCCCTAAATAACTTCCTTTCTAGGTAGTGGGTCTAGTGTAAGAAGAATGTATTTGGCCTTCATTGACAGATGCAACAATAAGTACAATGCTAAAGCATGAGAGTGTCTCGTGTTTTGTTTTCCCATCACTTGAGAGACAGGTAGGAGGACCACAAGTTCAAAACTAGCCTGTCTCAAAATAACAAAGGTACAACGCTCGATCAGACACTAACTGCACTATCAGTGCCTCTGGCTGGATGCTGAGGCCGTGAGAGAGCAACTGATTTACTAGAGAATGTATCACATGCATTTGGAAGTGCAAGGCTGCCAAGGTCCCACCCAAACTTTCAGCAGGTCCATGTGAGGTGTCCAGTCAGCAGGGGGATAGGAGATGAATTAAGAGTTGAGGACGTTCTTGTGGGCTCCTTGGTTGGTTTTCTTCCCTGAGAAACAGCCACAGTAGACTTGTTTACTATCGTTTACACTGACCTCTTCTGGAATTTCCTTTCCCACGTGAAGCTGTGTTTCATACTGCTCGTAGGTGGTACTATAATCATCACAGCCTGTATATATCTTCTTTGCACTTTGAAGCATTAAGTGTTTTGCCTGGATGTATTTATGCAGACATAACCAAGGAGGCCAGAAGAGGCCATCGGATCCTGTATACGTGGAATTAGTTGGAGGCCTCCATGGAGGTGCTGAGAACCGAAGAACTCAAATCCTCCGCAACAGCAGCAAGTGCTCTTAACCAGCAGGCCATCTTCACCAGTTCTGCTCTCCTTGGTCTCTAGATCCTAATGACAGCACAATGAGTCATGCATCTGCAAGTGCTTCTCATATATTCAGACTACTCACAATCCCACATAAATGATTACTCCCATTTATAAGAAAACGTGGCGGGCAGGGGGATATGGATAGTTGTAGAGAAATGGCTCAGTGGTTAAGAGAACTTGCTGCTCTTGCAGAAGACCCAGGTTCCATTCTCAGCACCCACATGCGGCACCCGGCCACTTAACTACAACTCCAATGCTGGCTGCTGAGCACCAGGCATGCTGTGGGGTGCACTGGGGGTGCATAAATGTACATGCAGGCAAAAACTCACATGAATAAATAAATTTTAAAAAGGGGGGGGGGCTGGAGAGATGGCTCTATTAAGAGCACCGATTGCTCTTCCAGAAGTCCTGAGTTCAATTCCCAGCACCCTCATGGTGGCTCACAGCCATCTGTAATGAGATCTGGCGCCCTCTTCTGTGTACATAATAAATAAATAAATCAGAGAGAGAGAGAGAAACTTGCCAGGATCACTCAGCCAAGTCACGGAGCCTGTGTTTCAAGCCAGCTCAGGGTGTCTAGCTCTAGTACTCATTAAGGGTGCACATACATGGTAAAACCACTTGGGTGTCTATGGATGCCACAGTCTGGTGCAGTGCCAGCGAGGCACACAAGTTAGGGATGGGAGCCTCCCACCTAAGAAGCTAGGAACCCAAGAGGGTGTTCTGGAAGTGCTCTTAACCACGGAGCCTGGTCTCCGGCCCTCTATTTTTTGTAGATGTAAGGTTTATTTTGGTGGGTATGGTGGCACATGTTGAATCCTAGCACTAGAGAAGTAGAGGCAGGCAGAGTTCTAAGCCAGCCAGAGCTACATAGTGAGACCCTGTCTGAAAAAAAAAAAAAAATTTACAAGTGTTTTGCCTGTGTGGGTGCACGTGTGTCTGGCCCCCTATAACGAAAGTTAGTTATAAGCTGTCACAGGGGTGCTAGGAGCTGACCCTGGGGCTCTAACTACTGTGCCATCTCTCCAGCACCCTCCCCTTAAGGTATGTCTGTGGTCTATGCACATAGATGGCCAGAGGCTGATGCTGGGAATCTTCCTCCATCATGGTCCACTTTTTATTTTGTGTGTATGTGTGTGTACGTGTGCCACAGTGCGTCTGTGGGAGGTCAGGGGACAATTGCAGCATTCAGCTCTCTTCCCGTCACCGTGCTTGGTGGCAAGGGCCATTAGAAATTCTACTGCATCTTGATTTTCTGCCTGGCGTTTCAACTGCCGTCCCATACAATTCTACCCTGGGCATTCAAAACTATGTGCAAAATCCCTCCCATCTTCAGTAAAGCAGCCCAAAACCTAAACCAGCGTCCCGGGGCGACTTTTCCCGGCCTCACCACCTCAGATAACTGAAATAGCTAATGCTTTCTTTCCTGGCTTGCTGGAAACCTTCCTTATAGCTAGAGAGCTTGCCAAGTACCACGGACAGAGCACAACGAGGCTGAGATCCTAACAGAAAATCCTGATCAAATTAGATTACACAGGAAATAGGAAAGGAAAAAACCCACAGGACACCACTAAAAGAGCCAGGACCAGTCAGCCAGCTTTGCACTCGACCCCTCCCTGCAAGCCTCCTGACTGCTGGGATTACCTTGCCCCACAAATCTGTGACTGTTAATGACCTCATGTACTTGGAATTCAAATAACCTCAGAAACCCAACTGTCTATCTGGCTCCTTTGTTTGTTGGGTTTTGTTGTTTTTCAAGACAGGGTTTCTCTGTGTAACAGCTCTGGCTGTCCTGGAACACTCTGTTAGACCAGGATGGCCTCAACTCAAAGATGGGTCTGCCTCTGCAGACCATTAAAGGAGTGCACCACCGCGTGGCTGTCTGGTTTGTTTAAATGACGGGTTCTACTTTTATAGCACTCATCCTCCAGCTTCTTGGCCCTTATAACATCTTAATTCCACTAAGGAAAAAATAATCGTTGTACTTTATTTCTAATGAGGAGTCATTCAGGAGGTCGTGAATTCATCTGTAAGTAACCAGTATCTAACATTTCTTTAACCATTTTCTACCCTTCTTTCTCATGATTTGGGGTCTCAGATTACTAACTGCATTGAGATAAGTATCATTTTTCTTTTCCTTGATGCTTTACAAAATCCACTGTTTCTCAACTCACTCCCCTCTCTCAGCTACACAGACACCTGAGCCCTGTTTAACAGGTGGCTCCGCTGCTGTATATGGGAGTGGCAGACCTCGGTCACAGAACTGAACACTAACCTTTTCAGCCCTACTAAATACAGCAGGATCTTTTTTTTTTTAAGATTTATTTATTTATTATGTATACAGCATGTAGGACCAGAAGAGGGCACCAGACCTCACTACAGATGGCTGTGAGCCACCATGTGGTTGCTGGGAATTGAACTCAGGACCTCTGGAAGAGCAGTCGGTGCTCTTAACCTCTGAGCCATCTCTCCAGCCCCAGCAGGATCTTAAAATTAGCGGATTGAGGGAACTCATCCTCCCTTCAGCAACCCTTTCCATAACGGCCAACCAAAATCTGCTCGTCTCAGGCCCAGCTACTAGACAGGGATATGTACATTTCAGGCTATCAAACTGTGTGGGAAGAAACCACTGAGTAAAACTGAATTGTTAGTTTCTGTGGGGGTCCACGGAGACTCCATAGTGAGGCCTTATTCCATCTTTACTCGGGGTCTGAGAGTCCCAGTTTCCTCTGCCCCACACAGCTGCATAATAGAATATTTTGGCCAAAGCCGTGGTTACCAGGTGTCTTATACTTCAAGGCCTAATACAAGATGCTCTGCTATAAGGCTTGGTTACCAGGTGTTTTGATAATTAAGGAAGGGTCTACACTTGTTTGTACCTTGACCTTGAAAGGGGGAGGTCTTTTGCCTCTCCCCCAGCTGATGCATAAAAAGCCCATTAGGAATCAACTCAAGGCGACTATGGTAGTGACCCAGAGCTATCTTGTGTTTTTTTCCTCGTCTACGTCTATATTTTTCATATCTATTATTTCTCAACTCACACTCCCCTATACCAAGGACTGTCCGAAGGTCGGGCTGGACCTGTCAAGTTTCTCCCCAACCTCTACCTCTTCCAAGATAACACACTTGAAGAGAGGCCTTGGGATGCTACCCAGTGCACAGCAATGCCATCCCTGGTGAAGGAGAAAATGAAGTCACTCAATAGCTAGCACTGGGCTGAAGCAGCACTGCCTGAGGCAGGCAGATCAAAGAGGTGGCTGCTTCCTAGTGTCCACCAGGTTCCGTTCTCTCAAGGGGGCCTGACTACCAGTTGAGGAGACAAAGCTGGCTGACAGTTAATCATTAAGCCTCAGAAAAAAGTCCTGCTCTGTCTCCAGGTTAACTGTGATAGTATGTATATACACGTTGTAAATTTCCTCCATTTATCCAAAAACCAAACTCCCAGTTCTGTCTCTGTAAAACATGTTTAATTGCTCCAAGTGTCTGAGACCTAAGAGATCTGCAGATCAAAGCACGTGTAAAACTTACAACTCACCAGGTGGTGGTGGCTCACGCCTTTAATCCCAGCACTCGGGAGGCCGAGGCAAATGGATATCTGAAAGTTCGAGGCCAGCCTGGTCTACAGAGTGAGTTCCAGGACAGGCTCCAAAGCTACAGAGAAACCCTGTCTCAAAGGAAAAACAAAACGAAACACAACTGTGTGTCTGCTCAGGGTCAGTTCCCCAGGCAGGCTGCACTAGCATTAGGAGCTCTTCCTTTATTAAACTCTTTCTCGCTGTGAAGGTTTAATACCGTAAGACTAACACTCAGTGTCACTCCCACCCCCAAACCATGACTACCCATGCTGTCCACTAACTACCATCTTCACAGCTAACCTTAGAAATTTTAAACACACTACTGGAGACCTAGCTCAGTGATGGAGCCCTTGCCTACAACACACAAGATCTGGGTTTGATCCTCAGCACTGGAAAAAAAGAAAAAGAAAAATCAAGGTGTAATTTACTCTCGGTTACAGAAAAAAGTTGATCTTGGTTTCTTTAATACACCAATAATAAACAAAGGCCTGGTGCTTTTTAGAACTTTATTTCAATGTAACTATATGCATAAGAAATACACTCATATTGGTTAATAGAATGCAATTATGTTTAACTTATCCTACACAATCTTGACCAGAAACTTGGTACATGGTTTAAATTTTCAAAAAAAGAAAAACAAAAACTGCAATCTGGTTTATTTCTATCTATTACAAATGTATAAAAGATCCTCCATCAACGCTGCTGA